AACATTGTCTAGCGAAAACAGTTTCCCCATTGGAATGCATTGAAACCCGTTTAATGTGTTCCAATGGGGAAAATAGTTGTCCAGCGACGATCGCCCATAGGGAAGCAATTTTAAATCACTGTCTTGTGAAAGAAAACACCCTAGGGAAGCCAATCAGCTGTTCAATTGTCCTTTTGCTGTTCAGTCGTCCTCTTACTAAGCACCCCCCTTCCCTTCTGTTGTTTTTGTGAGTGGGCATCTGACAAAATTGGGTTGAGTCCTGAGGGGCTCTGGCGCCTGGGTGGTGTTGGTGCGTGGTGTCAGAGCAAGAGGGATGGTGTGCGTGGGTCAGAGCCTGGGCTCGGAGGTGCGGTGGATGATTTGGGGAAGGCTGGAGGCAAGGGAACAGCTAGAGGCGACTTCTCATAGCTGTCCTTTGTTGCACCGCTCAAGCAACAGCAGGCGAAGAGAGCGAGGCAGCGAGCGCTGGGAAGAATCTTTGGGTGTTGGTGCCCAAAGCCCTCTCTCCCCCCCCAGCTCTTCCTGTGCTCGTCACTGCAGGATATGTCTCCGTCAGGCTGTGCTTCCTCTTCGCCCTCACCTTAGAGTGCACAGAGGAGGATCCCAGACACCGACGGTGCACAGGGGTCGCCTCTTTCCCAGCAGGAGCAGTAGCTGCTGCCCCTCTACACCAGCATTGCCACCATCAGTAAGAGCTCCGGCTGCTAGCTAAGAAGATTTGCTGAGGGGATCCGGGAAGGCTAGCGAAGGAGTGGGGGGGAGGGATGCAGGGGGGAAGAGACAGAGTGCTCGGCGGGAGAGCGCACACGCACACTGTGCAAGACTTCCTGCTGGGCGGGAGAGGTGCCTTGAGCCTGCCAGAGCTACCTTTCCATGACTAGTAGTGGGGCCAGAGGCAGCCCATCACAAAGTCTTCCTTTTGTGAAAAATACTGCGGGACAAGGGAGTGATGGGGGATGGGTGGTGACTGTGACCGACCGACTGGCAGAAAGGCTGCTTGGCTTGGATTGCTTGCATGGGAGGCTCTGGCAGGCAAGGGTTACGCTAGGCTTTTTGAATTGGCATGCACGATCCTCCGCACACAGAAAAAGGTTGGGGAGCGCTGCCCTAGGGAAGCCATTTACGGAGCTGCAGATCAGCTGTTCAATCGTCCTCTTGCTAAGCATTGGTCCTGGGGGAAAAAGCGTCTGGGGAAGGACAGACCTAAACGTCCTCCAGCAAAATTTCCCCATAGGAAACACTGTTTTGTGAAGCACAATGGCGGTCACAAAACCTCATCGTCATGCGGATTCGTCATTCTGCGGGGGTAATAGTCTTGTGAGGTACCACTGTAATCATTTTCTATGTGACTTTATCAGTCACTCACATTGCTGTAGAGGAATTTTGGCCTTCTTTTCTTTACAACATTGCTTCAGTTGGCTGTTGTGGGTTTTTTGGGCTCTTTGGCCATGTTCTCAAGGTTGTTCTTTCTAACGTTTTGCCAGTCTCTGTGGCCTGCATCTTCAGAGGGTAACACTCTTGAGTGCTGTCCTCTGAAGATGCTGGGCAAAGAGACTGATGAAACGTTAGCAAGAACAACCTTCAGAACACGGCCAAAGAGCCTGAAAAACCCACAACAACCACTGGATCCCGTCCGTGAAAGCTTTCATGAATACTTTGCTTCAGTTCATTGAGGTTTCTGGACATTTGTTTTTAGCTCTCGGAAGGCCTGCCACACCATTTCAATCGGGCTGAGGTCTGGACTTTGACTGGGCCATTGCAACACTTTGATTGTTTCCTTTTTCAGTCATTCTGTTGCAGATCTGTTTGTGCCCTGTTGCGTGACACAATTTCTGCCAAGCTTTAGCTGTCAGACAGGTAGCCTAATGTTTGAATATTCTTTGGTATAGAGAGGAGTTGATCGTTGACTCAATGATTGCAAGGTGCCCAGGTACTGTGGCTTCAAAACAAGCCCAAATCATCACCCCTCCATCAGCATTCTTGACTGTTGGTATTAGGTGTTTGTGCTGATATGCTGTGTTTGGTTTTTGCCAAATGTGGCACTGTGCACTGTGGTCAAACTGTAATGATTCTGGGATTGCTAATCAAGTTAATTAAAGTTGGGAAGACAGGAAACTCAACAGTCTCTTTCAAAGCCAGCCCCCCAAATCCATTTCTTGCTGAACCCGGTTGGTAGATTTTCTGTCATCATCGCTCTGTTGCATATGGTCATGGCCACTCTTTACATGTTCTGTGTAAAGATGTTCTATGCCTTGGTAGTTTGAGTGAGTAGCAGTGAGGCAACCTAGACATATTTGAACCAGGAGCATTCTGCCTTCCATACCGGAGTGGACAGTTTAAAAAGGAATTTAGTTTTTATTAGAAATAAAGCAAAAGACATTGTCTAAATAGAACAGGCACCATCCAAGAAACTAAGCAGTAAGAATGATACAGTTTCTTTCTACCAAGCTGTATCTTAGGCATGATACAGCTTGGTAAAAGCAATCTACAAACATTTATCTTTAATTCTACTAGGCCACTAGGCCAGAGGTTTAACTAGTTTCAGGAGGCTTACCTACTTACTTAGCTGTGGATTCTCCTTAGGAGAATCCCCACCTTTTGCAGTATCTCTTCCATCTTCTGCCTTCTCTGCCAGTCACCCACACAAAGGCAGCACTGCAGGAACCCCTGCCCCACCTCCTCATCTGAGTGGGTGGCTGATGGGGAAGGTAGAAGAGACACTGCAAACAGTGAGTGGGTAGTTGCACTGGGGAGGCTGGGAGGGAAACGTGTATTGCTTGAGGATTGGGCAAGCATGCAAGGAGATGGGACGCTGCGGAGCCCACACAACACTTGAAGAAGTGTGATGATGAATTGGGCTGGACCTCCAAACTGAAGTTCATGGCAATCTGTAGTTAGGTTCTGATTAGTCTTAGGTTTTAACATGCAGTACACCGACTCCAAGCGAGAGTGTCATTCAAATAGTGTAAATGAGTATGTTAACAAATATGGAAAATAAAACAATAGCTTACACACTAGAAATGCTCAATATACATTCCAGTCCCTAAGAAGGGAGATGCGAAGGAGTGCAATAACTACAGGGCCATTGTTTTAATTTCCCATGTGAACAAAGTGATGCTCAAGGTGATGTAACAAAACTCCTTATATGGAGTAAGAAATGCCTGATGATCAAATTGGATTCCAAAAAGAAAGGGGCATTAAAGGTAATAGCATAAATAACACTGACTATTAGAGCACACTAAAGAATTTCTGAAGATCAGTCTATGCGTTCTCGACTGTGGCAAAGCCTTTGACTTTTTAGATCATGATAAGCAGTGGATTGTTGTAATAGAAATGGGTGTCATTTATTCTTTGGTAGAAACTGGCTAGTTTGTCCAATATAAAATGCTGTGAGATATTACTAGTAAAATGTGTCGATGTGGGATATATACCAGGAAGATGAACAGGTGTGCAAACACTTGATATTGTGGGTGACACTACACAGTAGGCATCCTTCAGTCTCAGGAGACTATGGCAATGTGCTCTGAAAAGGGAGAGCAGCATCTAGTATGGCTGAGAAGGCCAATTCGAGAGTGACAATCCCTTCCATATGGAAGACAAACACAATCTGTCCCCTGTTTAGCTCCCTGATTTTGCTGCTTTCGTGACTGTCTCTTTCCCTCGGCCTGCTGAACAAATATCTCTTCAAATTGGGAGAGGCCATGCTGCACCGCCTGCCTCCAGGCTGAACGCTCAGATGTCAAGGTTTCCCATCTGTTGAGGTCTGTTCCTAAGGCCTTCAGATCCTGCTTGCAGAGTGGACAAGGGGACAAGATTTGGGAGCTGGATCTTCCATAAGATTGAGTCCCTTTGTTAGTATTCCAAGGTCTGTGGTTCTTTTCTGTTTCTTCTCATTTCGAAGCACCACAACCCAATTAATAACTATGTCAGATATTTTTTGTTCAATAACAAGCAACATCAAGAGGCAACTAACATCAGATCTTTCATAGTACATGTTAGGGGAATAGAGGACAGTAACACAGATGTGAAGAAGACTTGCATTTTAAGAGCTCAGTAGTTCTTTCTTTCCACATCATAGTTCTGGCATTTTCTGTTGCTTCTTCAAGATTCACATACAGTCACATAAAAAAAAAAATTCTATGGTTTTCACAAGTGATTCTTCACAAGTGGAAAACATTCAAGACAGTTGCCAATCTTCCCAGGAGTGGACATCCAAGAAAATGCACCCGAGGGTCAGACCATGTAATGCTCAGAGAAATTGCAAAAAAAAAAAAACCCAAGAGTTACATCTCAGACTCCATAGGTCTCAGTTAGCATGTTAAATGTTAAAGTTCATGAAAGTATGGCCTGGGAAAAAACTGGTTTGTTTGGAAGGGTTGCCAGGAGAAAGCCTCTTCTCTCTAAAAAGAAGATGGCAGCATGGCTGAGATTTGCAAAGTTACTTCTGGACAAACCACAAAACTTCTGGAACAATATCCTTTGAACAGATGAGACCAAAGTGGAGATGTTTGTTTAAAGAGATGGGGTGGAACCCTGCAGTCAGGATGCCAGAGTCATAAATGGAGCACCAAAGATGTTATCAAATTTCACACCTTCAGAAGAAGCTTTCTGACATGGTGAACATCAAAAGCATTCTTTAATGAGGGCCTGGTAATAAACCACATTTTGCTGTAAGGAAAGAAGGGCAGTGATATTGCCCATAATCTCTTGATATGCAAAGGGCCATAAAGATACTTTAAAAAGGGAACAAATGAGAGAGTTGGCTGGTTTCTGTCTTCTGGGACATTGCTGAAGATTCCATATGCAAAAATGCATCGGAGACAAAGCATATGGAACGTGTTCAGATTCTTCTCCTGCCATGAACAAAGGGTCCAGGACTCACTGCAGAACAGGAGTGTGCTCAGGACACAGGCTCTATAGACCTGGGTCTTGGTATATGTAATACAGAAGTGTTTTTTGCTGATGTTTTTAGAATGTTCTCTAATGGAATTGTCTCCTAGATTTGGAGTGATCCACTCAGTATTTACAAATTTGCTTTTGTGGACAAATGGTGTCTTGACTGAATCAAAACATCAACTTAATGAACACAAGGAAAGATTAATAACTCTTGGATTTGGAAACATATCAATGGGTAAGATAAGATCTTCGTTCATTTTTTGAAGTTGTGTTCTCTGTTTATAATTATCCTGTATCCAGAAATTGTAGGAGAGAGCCAAAAGATTAACTATTAGAACAATTCGTTTCTTGGCCATGCCTCCTGAATCAAATTCTTTCCAATGGCTTGGCTTATTTCATATGCCTTGTTGTTGTTTTTGTTCTTTAGTTGTTTAGTTGTGTCCGACTTTTCATAGCCCCATGGACCAGAGCAAGCCAGGCTCTCCTGTCTTCCACTGCCTTCTGGAGTTGGGTCAAATTCATGTTAGTAGCTTTGATGACAGTGTCCAACCATCTCATCCTCTGTCATCCACTTCTCCTCTTGCCTTCACACTTTCCTAACATCAGGGTCTTTTCCAAGGAGTCTTCTCTTCTCATGAGATGGCCAAAGTATTGGAGCCTCAGCTTCAGGATCTGTCTTTCCAGTGAGCACTCAGGGTTGATATCCTTCAAAATGGATAGGTTTGTTCTCCTTGCAGTCCAGCAGACTCTCAAGAGCCTCCTCCAGCACCACAATTCAAAAGCATCTATTCTTTGGCAGTCAGCTTTCTTTATGGCCCAGCTCTCTCTTCCATACATCATTACAGGAAAAACCAAATCTTTGGCTATGCGTACTTTTTTTGGCAAGGCGATGTCTCTGCTTTTTAAGATGCTGTCGAGATTTGTCATCACTTTCCTCCCAAGAAGGGAGGTGTCCTTTAATTTCGTGGCTTCTGTCACCATTTGCTGTAATCAGGGAGCCCAAGAAAGTAAAATCTGTCACTACCTCCATATCTTCCACATCTGTTTGTCAGGAAGTGATGGGACCAGTGGCCATGGTCTTGGTTTTTTTTTATGTTGAGCTTCAGACCATTTTTTGCACTGTCCTCTTTCACCCTCATTATGAGGTTCTTTAATTCCTCCTCACTTTCTGTCATCAGAAAGTGATGTATATCGGAGGTTGTTGATATTTCTTCCGGCAATCTTAATTCCAATTTCGGATTCCTCCAATCCGACCTTTCACATGATGAATTCTGCATATGTTAAATAAGCCAGGGGACAATATACAGGCTTGTCGTACTCCTTTCCCAATTTTGAACCAATTAGTTGTTCCATATCCAGTTCTAACTGTTGCTTCCTGTCCCACATATAGGTTTCTCAGGAGATAGATAAGGTAGTCAGGCATTCCCATTTCTTTAAGGACTTGCCATAGTTCACTGTGGTTCACACAGTGAAAGGCTTTTGCGTAGTCAATGAAGCAGAAGTAGATGTTTTTCTGGAACTCTCTGGCTTTCCCCATAAATCCAGTGCATATTAGCAATTTGGTCTTGAGTTCCTTTGCCCCTTCAAAATCCAGCTTGCACTTCTGGGAGTTCTCGGTCCACATACTGCTGAAACCTACCTTGTAGGATTTTGAGCAAAACCTTGCTAGTGTGTGAAATGAGTGCAATTGTACAGTAGTTGGAGCATTCTTTGGCATTGCCTTTCTTTGGGATTGGGATGTAGACTGATCTTTTCCAGTCCTCTGGCCACTGTTGAATGTTCCAAATTTGCTGGCATATTGAATGTAGCAACTTAACAGTGTCATATTTTAAGATTTTAAATAGTTCAACTGGAATGCCATCACCTCCACTGGCCTTGTTGTTAGCTATGCTTTCTAAGGCCCACTTGACTTCACTCTCCAAGATGTCTGGCTCAAGGTCAGCAACCACACTATCTGTGTTGTCCGGGATATCCAAATCTTTCTGGTATAATTCCTCTGTCTATTCTTTCCACCTCTTCTGCTTCTGTAAGGTCCCTACCATTTTTGTCCTTTTTCATGTCCATCTTTGCACAAAATGTTCCTTTAATATCTCCAATTTTCTTGAACAGGTCTCTGATTTTTCCCTTTCTATTATTTTATTTCTTTGCACTGTTCATTTGAGAAGGCCCTCTTGTCTCTCCTTGCTATTCTTTGGAAGTCGGCACTCAATTTTCTATAACTTTCCCTATCTCCCTTGCATTTTGTTTCCCTTCTCTGCTTTTTGTAAGGCCTCTTTGGACAGCCACTTTGCTTTCTTGCATTTCCTTTTATTTGGGATGTTTTTTGTTGCTGTCTCTTGTGGAATGTTATGAGCCTCATATGCCTTACCTGTTTCTTTTCTCGTTCCACTAAAACCGTATTGCTCTTCATCTCTGCTTTCACTGTTTCTTTTTTCTTGCATTCTGTTTAATGAATAGAATGATATTGATCCAATGGAATGCAGATGGAGTGAAAAGCTCTGCCATAGTTGTGATGGATTTATCTGTTGTGCAAGTGATAACACAAGAAATTGGGTGAACATGCGATCTCCTGTAAATGAAAACTGGTCTGTATCATGCCCCTGCCTTTAATCTATAAATATATGCTAATGCAATAAATTTTACACTTTCAAAAGTCTTAATTATCTTGCTTCCTTGAGAGCTCTTAGTGGACATGAAATAGCAACTCTAGATGTCCCATTAATTATTCCATTTCCTTATTTCAGATTTCAATTATAGATATCTGTTCAGAAATGCTGAATACTTTAATTTGGTACCTTAATAACTTGCTGTTTACTATTCATATATTGCTTGTACACATTTTTTGAAGAAGTAGGCATATTAGTCTTTGCAAGCCAAACAAAACAAACAAAAATAAACCCAAACCAACCCACCAAGACCCCCCTGCCAAAAGACATTGAAGCACCTTAAAGACAGCTATATTATAATACATGTTTCTGGGGATCAAGTCTCATCTGCGCAAGTGGACTTGATTCATGAAAGTCTTTAAGGGTACCACAATATTTTTGTCTTTAGACTGTCTTTATTTTTATTTCTTATTTTCTCTGATATGGTTATACAATAATTCTATGCATGTTTACACAGAAGCAAGATCTAGTGACTACAATGGGACTAATAAGACAGTCTCGTGTTTAAAAAAAAATAGCTCTCCAACGTTTTACTATTTTAAAGCCCCATTTATTTCAATAGAGATGTTAAATATGTCTACATGCATGTCCTATTGATTGCGGTGGTGTTTAAGAGTTATTCAATCTTGATCTGATCTTCTCAATTCTGTATGTATTCCTTCTATTCTTATTCTTCCCTTACTGTGTTTTCCTTACAATTCAGTGAACTAGGGAATGAAGAAGGGAGAGTGACTGGCTCAGCCCCCCCCACAATATGTCTTTTCTACAACATTAGAGGAGAGGAAGACAGTTTGTTGTTATTGTTTATCAAAGATCTCAGGCATTTCTTAATTTCTCAGCTGAGAAATGGGAACCTCCCCCTGTAAATTTTCCGTCCTTATGGAGGGGAAGGGGGACAAAAAAGTTCCCATTTGTTTTTAATGGATTCAGCAAAATGATGTTTTGAGAGAACTTCAAAACACCGCTGATACTTTAGCAGCAATGAAAAAGAAGTATAAAATGTCACCACTCCAAAGGAGAGCTCAGAGGAAGTTTTTAATTAAACAGCTTCTCCAAAGGACAGCCAACCTGCCACTTTGATTTGATCCCAGTAACAACATACACTGGAAATGAACCAAAATGGAGCAATCCTACCCACACCAAAAAAGTAGTAGCCCCTGACAAGGGACCAGAAAGGTGCAAGTTGGAATGCTCTGGGTATGGGCTGGTTCACTACAGCAATTATGTAGTCTAATTACAGGCAAAAGGAATAAGTATGTATTTTATATGGCTTCCTTTTCTTCTTTGTTTGCATCATAAGCAATCCAGTGGCACTTCTAGAGTAGAAGGATCAGCCAACAGGGTGTTGTCATTGCCTAGGGGATGGCTGAATATGTATGTAGTCTTTGGGTAGGCTCTTTCTATGTTCTCTTTATATGATTATTAATATGTCATTTATAATGGCTAAAATGGTTCCTGCTATAAATTATAATATAATAATGGATTGCCATATCAAAATAATTCTGATAGACTTCTTAGTAAAATACTGTTAGATTCCACCTTGGCAATTAGGGTTTGGCTTTAGCAGATAGGGTTTGGATTTTGTGCTAATGATTGAGCAAACTGTAATTTGGTAAATGGCTAATAAAATCAAAAAGTCAAAGAAAACTAGGCAGAATATCATAAATGAGTATATGAATGCATTGGATAAAATATATTTGAATTTAGAGAATTTGTTGTGATGTCATAGCATCTATGACCTCTTGGCTTATTGTTACAGATTCTTTTGGTTCTAATATTTGTAACAAACATTCATAACTTGGTGTCTCTTTTGTAGAATTGGATGACCATGCACCATACTGTAATTGTACAATACCAGCCCTCTGCTCCATATTTTCTCAAGGAATATATTATCTGTATCCCTTCAACATTGAATATCACATTTTAGCATCCACAATGCTCTATGTGCTATGGAAGAATATTGGACGCAAAGTTGAACACCTTCAGCAAAGCAAGACATCATTTAAGTTTCAAGGCAAAACAATGGGCACCATTTTAGGACTAGTTGTGTTTTCTACAACAATAGCAGTTGTGGTTGTCTACTTGATTCAGATTGGGCGTTCAAAAATAAAGAGTGAATTAGCACTCATAATGTTTTATTTGTATGCTATCACAGTACTGACACTCATGTGTGCAGCTGGGATTGTTGCACTTCTTATTTACAGACTTGAAGATAAGTCATTGGATGCTTCAAAAAATCCAGCTAGGAAACTCGATGCAGACTTACTGGTGGGGACTGCCTCAGGATCCTGGCTCCTTTCTTGGGGCTCCATTCTTGCAATTATCTGTGCTCAGTCCCACCCTACATATTCATGGTACAATTTGCCCTATTCCATCCTTGTTATAATTGAGAAGTATATTCAGAACCTATTCATAATTGAATCCATACATCGTGAACAGGAAAGGACTAATGATGATATTAAAACACTTCGCATACTTACTGTATCCAATGGCAGCATTCTGTCCATTGCACCATCCTACAAGGAAATATATAATGGAACCAGTGACATTGAAAGTAGAGAGCTGCCACACATGTTCAGTGGAAATAGCTGTCTGCCTGAGAGCAGTGGAAGTAGCACACTGGATGAAGACAAAATCCAAGCCAACACTCCAATCACCCTCTCTAGCTCAGATTTCTCAATTTATAATGGAAATATGATGATCAACAATAAAAGAAGAATCCTGAAGAACATTGCTGCATTTTTGTTCTTGTGTAATCTGTCGGTAAGTTGTGGTACAAAAGTAATGCCAATTATTCCAGTAACCAGGATTACCAGGAGACCAAATCAAACAAAATCTAGCCATCTTTTCCCCCTTTGATCACAGTTTGATCTGCATTATCAGTAGATGAAACTCTGCACGTTATCAAGGGTCTCTTTTTGAGAGAAGGGCTAGAAATAAAGCAAAATTTAAAAGTCTAAGAGTATGCTGTGACAACAGCATGCCTTTTTAACTTTTTGGTTTGCTCTTGGCTATCTTTCAGTGTAGTGACACAATTCTGTATCACTCTCTCTTCTTAGGTAGTATTGCTTCCTTCTCTGTGTGTGGGTATGTCTTTATTTATTCATTTATTTATAGAATTTTCATCCAGCTTTTTAATTTTAAAAAAGGCTCTTATAAGAACACCACTATTACTTTTTAAGCTGATCCAGGCAGCCCCCATAGCCTAATTCACAATGGAGTTGCCGGAGCTGCCTCCCTCTGAGCACCCAAAGTATCTCATACAGTGGCATATTTCAAAGAGCAGAAGCACTTAGCATGATACCTGACTTTTTACATATCAGTCATAGAATAAAGAGTGGACACAGTTCTTTGATTTTCTTGCAGCCTAATATTACACACAGTCGTAAAATATGAAAACATTTTTACCACCTCTTCTGTCAGAGCAAGGTGGCCTTTTCAGTTGACATGACTTCAGCAGATGATACTATAGTCCTGCTCTGCAAAATATCATGGAGCTGTGTCCCATACTGCAGAGTAGCTTGCAGACTTGGAAAGAAAAAAGAAGTCCCTGCTCAATAAGGTTCCGAAAGGCAAAACCCCAAAAGAGAAAAGGTATTGAAAAGAAGGAGGATTATTTTCTGGGCCCGAACCATTTCTTCTAGAAAGTACTAACTGCACACAAAGGACACTTGGATACACCAGGATCCTGTTAGTGTGCAAAAAAAAGGGATGGGCAATGTAAAACAACAACAACAACAACAACAACAACAACAACAACAACAACAACAACAACCCTGCTGAAACTGTGACAATATGCAGACACATCCATTAGCTACGTATTGGTTTGGATTGCTGTGAAATATTAGTAAAATCCTGTTGCTAACCATAATAAATAACACGAGAGTAAACCCATTGAATTAATGAAGGTTTAATGACTCAGATCCTCCATAGGTTCTTTGGTTCTCCTCTAACCATGGCTTCCTGTGCTAAAGTAAGTTACAGTTAGGCCTATTGGAATCAATGGAAATTAAAAGGATATGACTAATTAAATTCCCATTGATTCAATTGGTCTGCTCTAGTAAAACCGTACAATTGCACTCATTTCACACGCTAGCAAGGTTATGCTCAAAATCCTCCAAGGCAGGTTTCAGCAGTATGTGGACTGAGAACTCCCAGAAGTACAAGCTGGATTTTGAAGGGGCAGAGGAACTCGAGACCAAATTGCTAATATGTGCTGGATTATGGAGGAAGCTAGAGAGTTCCAGAAAAACATCTACTTCTGCTTCATTGACTACACAAAAGCTTTTGATTGTGTGGACCACAGCAAACTATGGCAGGTTCTTAAAGAAATGGGAGTGCCTGACCACCTTATCCATCTTCTGAGAAATCTCTATGTGGGACAGGATGCAACAGTGAGAACTGGATATGGAACAAATGATTGGTTCAAAATTGGGAAAGAAGTAAGGCTGTATATTGTCTCCCTGCTAATTTAACTTATATGCAAAATATGCAGATAATACCACTCTGATGGCAGAAAGTGAGGAGGAATTAAAGAACCTCTTAATGAGAGTGAAATAGAGAGCACAAAAAAGGGTCTGAAGATCAACACCCAAAAAACTAAGATCATGGCCACTAATCCCATCACCTCCTGGCAAACAGAAGGGGAAAATATGTAGGCAGTGACAGATTTTACTTTGTTGGGCTCCATGATCACTGCAAATGGTGACAGCAATCACAAAATTAAAAGATGCCTGCTTCTTGGGAGGAAAGTGATGACAAACCTCCACAGCATCATAAAAAGCAGAGACATCACCTTGCCAACAAAGGCCCACATAATCACAGCTATGGTTTTTCCAGTAGTGATATATGGAAGTGAGAGCTGGACTATAAGGAAGGCTGACCGCTGAAGAATTGATGCTTTTGAATTGTGGTGCTGGAGGAGTCTCTTGAGAGTCCTCTGGACTGCGAGGAGAACAAACCTATCCATTTTGAAGGAAGTCTACCGTGAATGTTCACTGGAAGGACAGATCCTGAAGCTGAGGCTCCAATACTTTGGCCATCTCATGAGAAGAGAAGACTCCCTGGAAAAGACCCTGATGTTGGGAAAGTGTGAAGGCAAGAGGAGAAGGGGACGATAGAGGACGAGTGTCATTGAAGCTACCAACATGAATTTGACCCAACTCCAGGAGGCAGTGGAAGACAGGAGGGCCTGGCTTGCTCTGGTCCATGGGGTCATGAAGAGTCAGACACGACTAACGACAAGTAAAATTTACTATGCTAAGTAACAGGATTTTGGCCACTGGATTGTGTATGCACAAGTAGTGTTTTAAAATGTACAGGGAATAAACTGGACTAATGGCCAGATAAATGTATTGCCCTCTTAAGGAAGTAGAATATTAATTAGGAACAGGTATAGTACAGGATACATTGATACAGAGATCTCCCATAAACAACTTTTAGGCCTTAATCCCCAGATTACATTTACCTGTGCAAAATTTCTCACAGCTGCAGGCAAGATACATAAAGATTTAATGGATAATGATTTTAACCAATAACTTTAATTTAACTCTTTTTTTTCTCTGTTGTAGCACTGTGACTGCTTTATAAATGTAACCTGTACTATGTTTAATATTTTTGCTGGTCATGGACCATAATAATAATATAAGTCTTCTCTGGATGCACTGAAAACATTTCACATTATAAATATCCATAGAAGATCTACCCTGTCAACAGATGCTGAAGCCTTTTCCTAGAAACTACATTTTTGCAGCTAGAATCTCCTGCTTTTTGCTTCCAGATGTTTGTGCTCTGATTATGATGATGTAAGTGGTGTGACAAGGTCACATACTCATATCAGAGGAACTCTTTTAAATTATTTTGCACACTTAAATGGGTCCTTGCATTTAAAAAAAGTACAGGGGCTGCCCCTGTGTAGATAATAGAAATTATCTTAGCCATAATTTGAAACAAGAAACCACACACAGACACACACACACACACAGAGAGGGGGGGGGAGGGAGAGAGACAGACAGACAGACAGACAGACAGACAGACAGACAGACAGACGTAAACACAAAGGGTGACTATATTTCTATATTGCAAGATTCAGCAGTTTTAGCAGGGAGCTTTAAACTATTTTCTTCAACATAGTTTTAGACATCACTTTGAATGTGCCAAATAACTGCTATTTTGTGCATTATATGTCACAAGAAATTTTAGAAAATAGTGCCTGCAAGAATAAAAGAACAAATCTGAGTAAACAGAGAGGCCTAAAGGTAAATACTAAAGCTAGCTTAAGTTAGATGTAAAATGTATTTGACTGCTTTCTACTAAATTGAAATCTCAGGCTGCAGTATTTCAATCAGTAGGATTTCCTTTTCCCCCTCTATGTCTTATTGTATGAATGATACAATTATGAGATTGCTTCTGCCACCTAGTATGTGCACATTTATCACGTCTGCTTCTGCAGACATTTTTCCCTGAAGTCTGTTCATGCCCACTTCCATCTATTTTTTTAAAAAATGTGCCATTGAAAAAAGTGGGCTTTTTGCATTTAAAAATATGCACATTTTGGTCACATATTATTTGAATACATTTCTCCATTAAGGATATTGTCTTTGTGATGTGTTTTTATGCACATTCAAAATACTTTTTTCACTACCTACACTTTTAAAATATGCATATTTATTAAGTGCACTCATAGCCATCGAGGAATTGCAAAGAATGCAAAGTCTGCATGGCAGTGTTGCCTAGAGAAAGTCTTCATAAAATGTCTGTCGGAGCACTCTTTCCTGCTCCCATTAGAAGCAAAAAAAAACTCAGTTTAATGCATTCCTATGGGGGGTAAACTCATTTTTGCCGCCTCGGTAAGCGAGGAATCGGCGCGAAAACGCTGCGAGTGGCCATTTTCTTCATCCAGCAGCCATTTTGGAACCGCCGATCAGCTGTTTCTAAAACATCGCAATGCGAAGATTGGTAAGCGCTGTTTTACCTATTAAAACATCGCAATGCAATCATAAAAATGATCGCAAAATCCGCATCACTATGTGGATTCGTCGTTAAATGGTGCGCTCGTTATGCGAGGCACCACTGTATTTTGGTTATTTATTTATTTATTTATTTATTTATTTATTTATTTATTTATTTATTTATTTATTTATTTATTTATTTATTAAATTTATACCCCACCCCTCTAGACCATGTCTACTTTAGCATTGTAGGCATTGCTGGAAAACATCCTAAGTAGATCACCCACATCTGTAATATGAACAGGGAACTAGCGTTTGTTTAAAGCAGCTTGCAACACAAAAAATGTCTGGAAGACATGACTATAATGCAAAAACTCACTATAAAATAATTATGTTATTTTAAAAGTGTTCAGAGACCTAGTGGTAAATACTGTTATAGCTGCAAAAACAAGAGCTGCCTCATATTCTTTTATTTGGTGTGGGTAGACAGCTAAAAACATAACAAAAGTTTATCCAAAAATAAAACAATAAAATTACAGAAGCTAATTTTTTATTTACTTCGAATACCCTTTCTTTACTGAAGATCAACTGCTGCTATCAAATAAGCAACAAAACATTTCTATTTCTCAAGATTGTGAGTTAGGAAAAGGGAAAAATAAGGCAGGAAAGACAGACAGCAGGCCATAACTTGCATGGTCAGGAAAAACCAAGTGATGCAAGTCCTACTCTGTGGTTTAAACCTGACACCAATCTGCCCATTTTTAAACTGCATTAGGAATTCCATCACTGGCTGACTAATACTTGGAGGCTTCCTGTCCATTGACAGCATGAGAACTGGAGCAGCAGAATCCTCATACTATGAAAATGGAGCGGTTGGAGCTGCCTCCCCTCCCAGGCAAGGATAACATTGTTGTCTGGCCAGTTCTGAGAGGCTTCCCAGCGATCTTGGCACTGACCAGTTTGGCAATGTTATCCTTGCCTGGGTGGTTGTCAGTTCCAGCCACCCCATTTTTGCCACACATGAAGTGGCATGATGCCTCACCCTCAGCGCTGTCAGTAGCTGGGAAGTCTGCCAGCACTGGCAAGCTGGTGGCTGCACCATGTCTTACTTTAATGCAAGGAATCACATTAAAACAGGATATGCATTTCCAGTAGTTTTACACCTGTCTGCAAGTAGCCTGTTGTAAAAAAGCTTACTGCAGGTTATCTGGATACATGTGGTTCCTGTCCCAGAAACATACTTTTGAAACAAGTAGAATGACTGGAAGCCATGTGAGGCAAAAGGCTCTTACACACAGCCATTGGAATTCTATCAACATATGAAGTGCTCTGTAATCTATAAAAGTTTAAGCCAAGTAAAGCATGTTAGTCTTTAAATTGCCACAAGAGCCTTTGTTATGAACGAGTATTTAAGAAAAGTAAAAATTACAATTGCTATTTTAGATTGAGAGTACATTGGAATAATTTTAGGCTGTTCTAAGACTTCCCCTAGCTAAATCCTTAATCTCATATGAACGGTGACATTCATCGTTATTTTCATTTCTAAAATTTAGTTCTGTTTCATAGCTTTGGATTCCTCCGGCTTTTGGCTGCCGCCCTGAATATGACAATGGACTGGAAGAAATGGTGTTTGGATTTGAACCATGGATCATTGTTGTTAATCTTGCAATGCCTTTTTCTATTTTCTACCGGATGCACTCAGCAGCCTCACTTTTTGAGGTCAGCTGCAAAATATGAACTTCATAAATCCTAAAGACTGTAGATGGATAAGAGACTGAGAAGCTAGTACATCCTCAGATTTTTGATCAAAAGAGGATGTCCAGTGACTTGAGTGACTAGAAAATTAAGAATATGCAGCACTTCACTGAATGGAGTACTTCATACCTCATCATTGGTCCCCTATACAGCAAGCAAGCGATAATATTTTGTTTCTAATTTTGTATGGCTAAAGGCACAATCCTGAGTATATCCAGAGGTATGCTGGGTTTATTTCCAAGGGGATGCGCATAGGATTGCAGCTTAAGCTAATGAATATTCTAATAACATATAAATGTATGTGGTATTTTTCTCTGTGTTGTTAGAGGTTAATCATATGGTCTCTAAGGCACAATTCACCCACATTAATTGTGACATCTATACAACTGGGTATGTTATTACAGTCTTTAAGTCCCATTGATTGCAGTGGAGAAAAATTGAAAGAAATATAAATGGAACTTTATGGGAATGATGCAGTAACTTTTAAAAGTTCTGCCTGCACTTCTTTCTAAATATCTTTTGAGAAGACAATTAATTTAATATTTGATATTTGATATACTGAAAAGAAATGTTATATGAATGTTTCATAAGAAAAAAACAGCTACAAATCAGAGGCCATAGTATGCTTATGACATGATTGTTTTGTACTTATATGTATTTTTATATTTTTTCATGAAATGATAAAATAAATAAATAAACTAAATTTCCATTTCTGCTTTAGCATTTTATTATTCTTTAATAGTGCAGTTGTCATGTTTTATAAATAAGATTACGCCAGTGTTGGACCTGCAGGCCACCATATGTCTTCTTATGTTGTTGATTCTTGCTGGATACAAGAAGTCAAACATTTCAAAATCCTGCATATTAAAATGTGAGAAATTAGAGCATATGGTAATTTTGCTATTCTTAAAAACAAAGGAAATCAACTCCGGCCTAATTGTGCTTGCATGGCCTTTGCATGGCCTTTGGATCATATTGCCCACAGCTTCCAGTGTTCCTGTGTTAGAAGTTGATTCAGCATGGAATTTATTTTCTTTTATTGGTCAATGGCAGCTACTTTCCCATGGGGCACTAGCAATAGGTGGCATCAAGAAGTTGCAATAGATGGAACCAGAATGATGTGGAAGATGTGGTTGATAATTTTCAGCCAATGTCTGCCCAAGTGACTCAGGCATGCAGACATTAGAAATTCAGTGACTCTTTAAGGGTACTCTTTAAGACCACCATGATCTATCTTAGCTACCTAGGTTTCACCTCCATTGCCCAGATCTTGTGGCTGGTGTTGAGTCCTTCCATAATGGTAGTTCTGGTTTTGAGCCACTAACAGCATGCAGCATACACACACAGTTTGCCTTTCTATGGAATGGCCCATAAAATGAATCATAATTTTTGTATAATGGCCACTATATCTTTCCATAATACTCTAGCATACTGGGGCTAAAAGACAAAACTGTGGCAAGACTACTGAAAAAGTAGAGCTGTGTTGTAAAACTGCTACTGATGAATCCTCCAGATAATTACGACCTCCCCACAAAATTCACAACTAAGGGTGTGGTCACTTGTGCTAAAGGAACCCCAGGTATATTGATTATGCTATTATTTTAATCATTTTGTAAATTTCCGTTCACACGATGCAGGTTAACATTCATTTAGTCAGCCAGTCAGTTTTTCCCCACCTCATTGCATGGCCTTTTTCGAATAATCCAGCCCCAGTATTGATTCACTCCTTATCACTTCTGCATGTCTGAATATTGCTGTTGATTTATTTACTATGTGAACTGGTTGGTTTTTGGGCCTCATGACCACTGCATGGCAGCCATACTTGTGCCTTTTCACGTTTTTTTAAACACTTGGCAATGAATCATTTGATTTTTGTTCTATATTTTTTCTCCATGACAGTTTACTGATGTTTCACTTAGCCAATGTCTTCCCTATTATAACCCTCATCCCTGCTTTTGTTTGGCTTATAGTTAATTTCCCCCCTTAGCTTTTCAACAATTCTAACATTTTAAAATTCTGCCCTAGTGACTTATCCCACAAAGCGGTGCATAGACTAACAGTTGGAAGAAATAATAAAATGGCATATATATGCTGCTGTAGTGATATATCACTTTTTTTAAAAAAAGAAGAAGAAAATTCTAGGGCAGCAGGGACCCAGAAACAGGACAGAAAATGAATAAATATATCAATATATATCTGGACACCACATTTCAAGAAGGATGCTAACAAATTGGAACAAGTTCAGAGGAGGGTGACAAGATTGATCAGGAGACTGGAAACCAAGTCTTATGAGGAAAGGCTGAAATAATTGGGCATGTTTAGCCTTGGGAAAAGAAGACTGAGGGGTTGTATGATAGCACTTTTCAAATATTTGAAAGGCTGTTGTACAGAGGAGACACAGCATTTGTTCTTGATCATCCTAGAGTGCAGGACACACAACAATAAGTTCAAGTTAAAGGAAGCCAGATGTGGTGATCACCCTGCTTTGGCTCATGTAGGAGGATATTTGCATGCACCAATTGAAGTTGTTGGGAGGCAGAGCCAGAGAAACTAGAAGAGAGGGGTGAGGCAGAGAAGGAGAGTTTGGTCAGTTCGTCAGTTAGAGTCAGAGATGAAAGTCTGAAGTGAAGAGTTAGTCTGTGGGAGTTAGAGAGTGGTAGAGTGAGGAGTTAAGGGATGCAATTAAGAGTGTGGAACTTATAGAGAGTTAAGAGTGAAAAAAGTTATTACTAAACTACTGAATACTTTAACATCTGTGAAGAACCTGTTTAAGTGAACTGTAATCAATAATCCTGTTTTTGTTAAACCTTACACTCAGCATGGACCTCAATCTTTCTAATTGAACATTGTTGACAGAGATCAACTAGTGGCAGCATAGAGGGAATGTGTCATCAGATTTCAGTTGAATATCAGGAAAAACCTCCTGTTAGAGCAGTACGATGGTGGAACCAGTTACCTCAGGGGTTGGTGAGTGTTCTAACACTGGAGGAATTCAAGAGAAACTTGGATAATCACCTGGCAGATGTGTTTGATTGTGTTCCTGTATTGAGCAGGGAGTTGGACTTGATAGCATAGTAGGCTGCTTCCAAATTCACTTTTCTATGATTCTATGAATACAAAAAAAAGAAGGAAAAAAAGATTCAAGTGTTCAATGTGATTAGGCTCTAAGTTACAAATTCTCTGTTAAGAACTTTGGGCTTATCTCTGTTTTTTTTTTTTAAATGTTTTATTTGTCCCATTTCATTTACAAGAGAAAGGTAAACGAGCAGAAGAAAATTCAAAAACTAGAACCCCTGCAGTCTTGCTAAATTGGATAAAACCTCCATAACCCAGCCACAAAAGATGATGGTGATGATGAAAGTAATTCAGGAAACATTATGTCCATGACAGGGACATTAAAGCTGTGAATTGCAAAGATGCATCAGGTTATTATTAGCACACTGGATTGGATAATTTGCCCATTTGTGGCAGCATAATTATCATTAGGCATCCTTCAGTCTCAAAAGACTATGGTAATGTGCTCTGTATGGAGGACTTGGAACATTGTCTAGTGTGGCTGAGATGGCCAATTTGAGAGTGACAATCCCTTCCACACTGAAGACAAATCCAATCTGTCCCCTGTCCAGCTCCCTGATTTTGCTGCTTTAGTGACTGCCTCTTTGCCTTGGCCTGCTGGACAAGGCTCTCTTCAAATTGGGAGAGGCCATGATGCACCACCTGCTCAGAACACAGGCTCTATAGACCTGGATCTTGGTATATGTTGTCAGCTTCTTATTGAGCCATACTCTCTTTGTGAGTCTACAGAAAATGGTAGCTGCTTTGCCAATGTGTTTATCCAGCTCGACATCTAGAGAGAGGATGTCAGAGATAGTTGAACAACCTCCAGTTCTTGTGTGGAAATGGTAATGGAAGGAGGTGACTCCATGCCCTGGCCCATGACTTGTGTTTTCTTCAGGCTGATTGTTAGTCCAAAGTCTTGGCAGGCCTTGCTAAAATGATTCATGAATTGTTTGTCTTCAGCAGAATGGGCTGCATCATCGGCAAAGAGGAAGTCCCGTATGCATTTCAGCTGGACTTTGGTCCTTGCTCTCAATCTAGAGAGAATAAAGAACTTTCCATCTGATCTAGTCCAGAGATAAATACCTTCTGTTGCAGTTCCAAAGGCATGCTTCAGCATGACAGCAAAAAAGATACCTAAAAAGGGTTGGTGTGAGGACACAGCCCTGTTTCACTCCACTTCGGATGTCAAAGGAATCTGATGTTGAGCCATCAAAAACTACAGTGCCCTTCATTCCCTCATGGAAGGACCTGGTGATGTTAAGGAGTCGAGGTGGACATCCAATCTTGGGAAGTATTTTAAAAAGGCCATCAATGCTAACCAAGTCAAAGGCCTTTGCGAGATCTATGAAGGCCGCAAAGAGTGGCTGTTGTTGTTCCCTGCATTTCTCCTGCAACTGTCTGAGGGAGAATACCATGTCAGTGGTAGATCTATTTGTGTACATTAGTGTACAGTGTATTTGTGTACAGTGGTGCCCATTTGTGTACATTATTGCTTATGAAGTAGACATCAGCATTTAACTATAATACGTGATGACTGCTCCAAGTCACTCCTGTCATTCATAGTCAGGATTTCATTTGCATGAGCCTATGAGAGGATTGGAGGGGCAGAGTCAGCAGATATATAAAGGTTTGGCAGGAAGAGATAGAAAAAAAGAGAAAGGTAAGAGAGAGAGAGAATTTGCAGAGAGATTGTCAGATAGAGAGATAGTGAGAGGAGAAAGAGAAGGAACTGATGCTAATAGAGATAAGCTGGTCAAGGTAAATAGATAGAGCAGGTAGTGATTGGTTATGTGGCAAGATATATGGTATTTTAATGATTTGATTGTGTACAATGAGTATCTGAAGAACATCTGTGATTATGATTATTTTTGATTGTTGTTGTTGTTTAGTCATTTAGTCGAGTCCAACCCTTCGTGACCCCTTGGACCAGAGCACGCCAGGCCCTCTTGTCTTCCCCTGCCTCCCAGAGCTGGGCCAAATTAATGTTGGTCGCTTTGATGACACTGTCCTACCAAATCATCCTCTGTCGTCCCCTTCTCCTCTTGCCCTCACACTTTCCTAACATCAGGGTCTTTTCCAGGGAGTCCTCTCTTCTCATTAGATGGCCAAAGTATTGGAGCCTCAGCTTCAGGATCTGTCAGTGAGCACTCAGGCTTGATTTCCTTTAGAATGGATCGGTTTGTTCTCCTTGCAGTCCAGGGGACTCTCAAGAGTCTCCTCCAGCACCACAATTCGAAAGCATCAATTCTTCGTCAGCTTTTTTTATGATCCAGCTCTCACTTCCGTACATCACTACAGGATAAACCATAGCTTTGACTATTCGGACTTTTGTTGGCAAGGTGATGTCTCTGCTTTTTAAGATGCTGTCGAGGTTTGTCATCGCTTTCCTCCCAAGAAGAAGGCATCTTTTAATTTTGGGGCTGCTGTCATCATCTGCAGTGATCATGGAGCCCAAGAAAGTAA